TAGCTACGTAAAAATGTTGTTAACACCATCAATATTATTATCGGTATTAGAATGATTTCTGGTAGTAAAAATATTATCGATAGGCTGGAGCACTTCGTCGCTTTTGTTTTTAAACTTACAAAAAAAACTTAAAACTTTTCAAAAGCGAAAATGTTCAGGGAAGTGCAATTCTTCTGCGGATTGTGAGGAGAACATTCCTTGCTCAAACGGAATATGTACCTGCGACGAAGGCACGGTCTTCCGAAAAGGTCGTTGCGTGGTAGAAACTAGAAATTTCAGTCAGTTTCTAATCATATAGGTTTAAATGATGTTGGAGAAGTGGTGGTTTATTAGATTTTGTCGCTGTTTTAGCTAGGTCTTTTATTTTATCAGTTACTCGCTACTTTAGCTTCTGACTCGTCTACATGTAAGGAATCAAACGATTGTAAGTCGGGTCTGATATGCATAAACAAGAGGTGTTCTTGCCCACAAGGAATGTTTGAATCTGCTACAGGCAATTGTGTTTATAAGCAGAGCTCTGGTAATTTAGATATTTGTTTACACTGTAAAACAGATATGCATAATGAATTCGTTTGAAAATCTTTTTAGTGGTTCAAACTCTTTTTAAATTTATGAAATTTCTTAAATAGTGAGAGGGTAACATTAAGTATTTAAAGAACAAATCACTTGGTTTTATTGACCATCATTTCAGTTCCTCCTGGTTCTTGGTGCAACGAGGATTCTGGTGTCATATGTAATGGTGGTTCCAAGTGTTACCATAATTCGTGCGTTTGTCCTTACGGTCATGTAATTAATGCACTAGAATGTGTTCCCGCACCTAGTGGTTTGCACCTTTATTAACTTTGATATTCCAAAATAACAGTAACCTTATAAATGCTAGAATTTTTTAACTACACTGTATCGTTTGATAGCCATTTTTCGTCTTGTGATTTGTTGTGACATCTGATGACTAATTAGCATGCATATTGCATGTACAGTTAAAGCTGGTGGATCCTGCATGAATGGAGAGTTATGTGTTGGTGGTTCCATTTGTCGACAAGGGAAATGCACTTGTCCGTCTGGCAGTACAGTAGAAGGTCGCCCGTGTTCAAACCGTTTTTCAAGATCTATTGTTTCTTTAACAGGTAGAAACGAGGTACATGTTGACGGCAATTTGGACAGGACATCAAATTTACAGCCTTGTCCTTTGGAAAATACTTGTCTACTGCCAAAATGTTACTGTTCTAGGTGCGTTTTGAAATGTTTGGAATTAACTGGTTGGTTTGAAAGCAATTTTTTTAATAATATTGCAACCAATATTTAGAACAGAAAATGAAATACCGGGGAATCTGTCTCCTAAGGATGTACCGCAAATGGTGGTAGTTACATTCAACGGCCGGTTTTCTGATGAAGTAGCAGAAATTGTCAAACTGTTCTTCGGTGGTCGTTATAGGTGATTGTTTGGTTTATATGAAATTACACTTGATAATAGTATTTGATATGAGTATGTATAATAATATGTGACTATTAATTGCTGCAATCACATTAATATTTTCGATCCTGATGTTGGCTGCAATTATTTTTGCTGCTGTTGGCAGCATATTTGTATTCAACAAGTTGTTCTTCTAATCTAGTACAGCAGAACAGCTATCTTCATTTAGTGTTTTTTTAAAAATATTTTTTGCTTAACCAATGTTATTTAAGCTTTTTAGCTGTTAGTAATATGCTGCACTATTCCCAGTGGATGAATACGTAATCAGTAATGTAGACTTAATTTTTTTTAAGGAATCCAAATGGATGTCCTATTACAGCAACCTTTTTTGCAACTCATAACAAAAGTAATTATGATCATTGGCAATGGTTGGCTTCACGAAAGAATGAAATTGGAATCAATTCGTTTACGTATGCCTTTTTTTATTTGAGGCACAAGTAAGATTCTAAAAGTTGATGCACTATTGTTGAAAACAGATTTGTATTAGAAACAACCACAGGCATACTCTTAAGATCTCATGACTTTATTATGTACTTATGTAAAGTTATGTGCGAAATAAGAAAACTGATTAAATTGCAGTGGAACAAGTTTGAAAGAAGCATCAGAAAACAAATGGGAAAAAGAACTGTCTGGCATGCGTACTGTTTTGGAACGCTTTAGCCTCTTGTCCTCGAAAAATATAAACGGAATTCGTGCACCGTTTTTGGAACTAGGTGGTAAGGATAATAGGGATTTGTTAGTTCAGTTGATGAAAACTTATATATTTGCAACAGACATAGGTGCCTACCTGACATCTGTGAATGCTTATAAAATTTCAGGCAATAATCAGTTTAAAATATTGAAGAAATTACACTTCCTTTATGATAGCTCAGCGATTGCTGCCAATGGATCTTTTTGGCCTCAAACACTTGACTATAAACCTCCGTGGAAATGCTTCAACAGTAAATGCCCGGAAACTTCGTATCCAGGTATCTGGGAGGTTCCTGTCACCGAATTAACCCTTAACAATTCTTCTTCAGAAAAAGTTACCTTTGAAGAAGCTGTGAGGGTAAGTTTCAGGTCTCAGCTATGTGTAAAATGAAATCTAGCAAATAAGATTAGAGAAATTTTTTAGAAAATCCACTCATCTGACACACTTGGTACACTGTTATACAATAACCTTCTAAGGAACTATAACTATAACAGAGCACCATTTGTTTTGTCAATTGATACCGATTTATTAGTAAAGTTTGTTAATACCACAGTTGCTGCGCTGGAGTCATTCATCGTCAGTGTAAGGTTTTTTTCCTACATAGTTTACATTTCTGCTATTAAGGTTTGATAAAGCTATATTCTGTTTTCAGTGTACTAACCATTAAATTTCAGAAAAGACTATTTAACATTTAAGAGAAAAAGACTTATTGGAAATATTCATGGCTCTTTGTGAAAATAATCTAAAAAACTTATAAATTAATTTCATTTACAGGCTTTAAGCAGTTCGGATGTTTATATTGTGTCTGCAGCTCAGTCTCTTAAATGGTTACAGCAACCCACTGATCTTTTGAAAATTCACAATTTTAGACCTTGGAAATGCCCGTTGGAATATAATTCATTAAATTCCCTATGCAAGGTTTTAGTTTAATAGGTTTTTTTACTTTTTCTTCACTGTTATTTTATTAATATTTTTTTACGAGGAGGATATCATCGACTGCCCTTTTCAATCTTGACAATTGCAAAAAGCTATTACATCTCTCTCTCTCTCCCTCCCTCTCTCAAAAAAAACTTTGTGTTTGGGAAAAGGTCTTTAATAGATCTTTAAACACGAGAGTATAATTTATTTGTATGACAAATCGTATTTACAGAATCCTTCAGTATGCACATTTATTTGTGAACGTGGAAAATCTGAGTCATTTCGTGTCTGTGGCAAATGTCCGCGAACGTACCCAACGCTAGAAAATTTGGTGTGACAACAAGATATATCTGTAGTATATAAGAATCTGTTAAACAGATATCAGTGTTGAAACTGTGTGTGGTACACAACGATTTTGTATTATTTATAAATGGTTGATAAAATTTTAACTTATTGCAGTGTAGAATCTCACCAGCGATTTTAGTAGATTGATCAATCGATTAATTGATTAATTGAATGATTGAGTGATTGATTGATTAATTGTTAATTTTCTGGAACACTTCAAGTGCTTTCATTTTATGTTATCTTCTCATTTTGATTGCTTTTTTTTTCGCTATAAACATAACAAATAGAAAGAAAAAAGGAGAAGTAAATGGTGACAGAATTATTTGCTTTGAATAGTATTAAAAAAAAAACCTTCCTGTTTGGATGGGCAGTTGAACTGTTGCTTTACGATGATATTTTCTTGCTCAATAAAATATGAGTGTAAATTAATGGGTCATCGAACGGAGAAGAAATAAAAATCAAAAAAATCTGCTGTCCCATTACACTTCCAAGAAAAAAAAATTTTTTTTTCACATCTTTATGCATTTCCATTTTATCCTTATCGTTTTTCATTGTTACCAATAAAATTTTGTCAATTAAACTATTGCTCAGTTATTTGTCTGATCAATGTATGGTATATCGTTGTTTGTCTATAATTGAAGCCATTAATTCTGTTAGCAACAATTGTTCTGTATAATTAAAAAAAAAGAAAAAAAA